TTACCATTTAGATTTTTTTTTTGTGCAAGTAAGAATATTATCTAAATTGAACAAATCTACTCTCAGTCTTGTGGTTTTGGTAAAAGCCTTGTTGACACCACTGTGGTCCCAGTAATCACAGCTCAGCTTGCTGGAGCTCAGGAGCTCAAGATGTGCCACTCAGCTGATATTCATCTTTACATCTTCTCTCCAATACCCCATGAACGGAGATTAATCAGCCAGTGGCCTTTATATCTTTTAAAATAGAAATTCCAGTAAATCCTCTCAACTTTAATAGTAACTGCCTGTGCCCCTCTGGCATCCCGCCCCATAAGATACAGAAAGTCAGCTAAAAAGGATGGCATTCTGGGAGACCTGAGGGACCTCTGTGGGACTCTGTCATGTGACCCATGGTGTCTGACACCATGGCACCAACCATGGTTTGTGGCTGGTCCTGGTGTTGTGGTGACACAGACCGTAAACAGGGCGTATCAGTTTTACCGCAGCGCTTTTCTTTACCTCAGAAGAGATCTCTTAGCACATAACTCTGCAACTATAGCTAAGACGGGGGATGATAAAGCAAAAACTTGCAGTCAGGCCCACAAATAATAATAGCGCTGTTAAAATCATGGAGATTCCAAATACCTTCACTAATGTTGTTCTGTTGCAGTTTTATGTAAAAGCAGAACATACATGTAAACAGATTTTTTATTAAAGAAATCCATACACAAGCCTGCATAATGCGTCTCTCTTGGTTTACATCACCACACGCCATCAATGCCTTTTGCTTGCAAGCCTTATTTCATATGGCTCACCTTTTACGAGGACTGCTTGGGAGTGGAACAGCAGATGCAGACATTGAATTCGAATTCATACAAGGCAGACATAATATCAGGCAATATAGAGGCAGACAGAGAGGCTATTGAAATGCAAATAGACTGCTGGGGCCGTGGCAGCAGGGAAAAGAAATTGGCCAGGATGACAATGCAAGTAAACCACTCCAGTTTGTCAAGAAGGCCACGCTTTGTCACAAAACTGGGAATGGATTTCAGTACAAGTGCTGCTACAGCACTAAAAAGAATAATATTCAAAAATAGGAGGAAAGGAGAAATAAAATAGTTGCCCACTACACAACTCTCATGTTAAGACTGAGAAATGCCTGTAAAGTTAGCGTTTTTCAGTTTATTGCTGTGTGTTTTCCAAGGGACCCTCTTACGTGTGCCGGTTTATGGTGGACCATGAATGTGAGCGATGTTGAGAGTGAGAGGGAGAGGGATACAATGTGCATGCATGTGTGCGCTGGTGCTGGTGTGCATGCACACTTTCTTCATGCTTCATTCTTCTCATGAGTGGCCTTTCAGTTCATGGCGTGTTTTGTTAGTCAGGTTGGCACGCTCCATCAGGAGGAGGGACACAGAACTGGGAGGCCTCACCGGACCCTCAGCCGTAATAAATTACCTACAAGTGCTGCAGAACAATAACACAAAAAAGTGCGAGCCATCCATTTCACCACCATTTACAAGAAATCAATATCAATACTTAATGCAATGCGGATGAAAAATGAGCAGAGATACAGGGGCATAATGCAAGCTCAAATGAAAGACCTCGGAGTGCTGCTTCCCAAGGGTTTCGGGGGATGAGGAGGGAGGCAAAATGTAAAAAAAAAACCTGAAGTGTAAGAAAAAGTGCATTATACCTTTTGTTTTTGTCCCTAGTCTATTTTTGTAGTTTAAGTTTCATAATAATCTTTTCTCAGCCTGGTTATCTAATTGTAAATCAATATGCAATTTTGCCTCGCCAACAGCCCAGGACAGAACATGCACAAACATCTATTTAAAATACTCCGTCTTTAGAAAAAAGTACGTTGCACTTAAAGCTGAATTTTGTTCTTTTTCAGATCGCTGTAGCAGCAGTGGTCTTCACCATCATTACCTGTTAAATGTGCGGACGTTTCCTTAGCAGTCAGTTCAGATCTCTTTACCATGTCCCAAATGAATCATCTGTTAAAGATAAACATGATCTATATTTGTCCTGGAGGCATGCTGCATGATGTCATCTCTGCCTTAATGTCCCATTTCATTGTGGTGCTTGGTGATGTATTACAGATCTTTGCATGCTGTGTAGAAAACTAATATATATATATATATATTTCTTTTTTGACTAACTGGTGATAAAGACACTGAAATAAGCGTAAGAAAAAATTGGGTAAAACGTAGATGCAAGGAACCTTTTTGTGCAGATCTGAATTTGATTGCTGTCGTATGTTTGCGCATTGTTATGTGTTTGTTTTATTTAGCTGATTTATGGTATTACGTTGCATCTTTTTATGCACGAATCGCAAATGTCTGTGGCGATTGAGTGAGGAAACACATTTTACTGCTAAAGCCTCAATTAGACTTGTCACCCGCAATAAAAGTTGATTTTGTGATGATGTTCCGTGTATTTATGGTTTGATAAGCTGGAGAGCTACCTAGCCGTTTAGTCAAAGGGTCACATCTTCCTTTCTCCTCCTCTTTATGGTCCCTGATAGCAGATGCAGCATTCAACATATGAACTGTAGTTGTCTGGGTAAGATATGATCTTGCCCCCACAACTCTAAAATTGCCTTTGCTCTGGAACATGCAGGCTTCTTGAGTGAGACCTTTAATGAAAAAGCATGCATAATGAAAAAGGCAGGTGAAAATGAAACAGTGATATCTGAAACCTGTTCGGCTTAATATGAATCCTTTTACTGCTTCTTCTGCACTTTCCAACCAGCTCCTGCTTCCCCAAGTGTTTCAGCCCTGGCATTTGTCACCAGTAGATGGCACTGTAGCCAAGTTTCAGGCTACACGGCCAGCAATTTCACCTGCCAGCTCTGGCTGCCAAAGAAAAAAGTGCAAATGTATTTGTTTCACCCTAGCTCTGAGGGCTTTTTCTGCTGTTGTGTTCAGGGCCAGATGCAGTGTGTGTGACACAGAGAGAGAATATCAATAACCAATATGCTCACAGGCTGCTGGCCGATGGTTCCAAGTTCTCTAAGCACAGTGGTGATCCCCCTTTTAAAGTCTGTTCCTATTCAAATTACACTCTTATTGCCCTGAAAACGAATGATCACGGCTTTGGTAATAAGCAACCAAAAACTTTGCATTTTTCTTGTTTTTTTTCCCCCCACTCTTTGTATTTCAGTTACTCATGTTACATGCCATCAAAAGCACCGTGTATATTCTTTACTATTTCGTCTGCCTACATCTGACTTATCAAAAGCCAAATAACATCAATTAGTCTTTGGAGGATAGAGTATTTTGTATGGTTAAAGGTCTGGTGTCGAGTTCTGAAGGGAGCCATTGTCCCTTCTTGAGCTTCAGTCCTTTAGAGAGCATAAGTGTTTATTGAACTCAATAGAAAGCGTCGGGACAAAGGGACCTGATATTCCTTACTCACTTGCTGCATAGTTTGTATCATAATTTCACTATAAGTTGTTGCGATCAGCGCATTGTGAGGAATTTTGGCAGCCATTCAGTGTGGCTCTTTGAACCCGAGCTGGCCCAGTTGTATTGTGGGTTTCACCTGGGCACTCTTGAACACCAATAATAACCAAACAATGGTGCTGACTTTGAGGGTATTTGGGATTTTTATGTGTAGCATTAGTGGGTTATCTGCTGTGGTTGTGACAGGGTTGACAGAGTGGGGTGAGCTTTGAAAGGGTTGTGGTTTGACATGACATGTAAAGGCTGCCTGTTGTTGTGGTGTAGAGCTGCAGGCCACGCAGAAAAAGAAAGTGCTCATATTTCTCAAATACAAGACAAAATTATCTCCACTAGATTGGTATTGAACTTTGGGGGAATTCATGCTTTTTTTCTTCAGTTGGCGAAATGTAATGCAATTAAAGCACTCCAATTATAAAGAAACTCCACCAGCTCAATAAAATAAAGATCAGAATTCACTCCAAATATTCTATTACAAGTTGTGAGGATTTCTTTTAGCAATAACCTGGAATCATGTACTTCATGCATTACACACCCAGACAGATAAGTAAGCGATAGTGCAGAGAAGAGTGTGACAAAGTTCATGCCGTTGTCCCTGTGTCACCCGAGGCAGGATGAGCTCATGGCTGTGCAGTACAGAATCAAAGAAAGGTGTTGAACCGAGGGCGGGCCTTAGTGTTGCCGTGTCAGAGCTAACATCAGTGCAGCACACACAGCAGTCATTCACTATTGTTTATTGAATGACTCTATCAGTGTCACAGGGCACGTATAATATGCCTTTCTGCAAACAAAACCTTGTAGTAACAAGGTACGGGTGTTGTTTTCTTACTATAAATATGCGTCACTTAACATTTTACAGTGTAACATTTGTGGAAATTGGTGTATTCATATTCTTAGAGATATATAGATAAGAATATCAATACCACGTTCATATCTCAAGGTTAAGTGATGAAATGGTTAGCGTAGCTTTGGATAAACAGTGAAATCAGAGGAGATGATGTGCGTGGCACTTTCCAAAGATGAAAATGTCAGCATTTCTAAGGCTTGATAATTAACAGGTAAGTAGGTAAAGGTGTTCTCCTAAATGTCAAACTTTCCTTCAAAGAGCAGACTAATAAAGTGAATGGCTAAATTACTTCCTCATCTTGGTCAATATTTTATTTTTTTTAATTTTAGCAATTTGTACTCATACTTTGAAGTACTCGGGCATTTGTTTGTATTGCAATTAGAGATTAAGTGTTAAGGTTCAGTATATTTGCTCATTTTGGAGTATTTCCTGAAGCGTATTGCAACTTAATTGCAAAAATGTAGCTTCATGTTGAGTGATATTAATTTCTCTGGTTTGAAATTTGGGGTCATCAACCCAAAAATTCAATGACTACACCCACTCAGCTTTCACGATGCCCTTTTACATTAATTCCAAAGCTTCCTTTCTGTATCACCCACTCTGATCTTTTCCTTCTTTCCTTCCCTCTCTCCTTCGCCTCATCTACCCCCACATCTCTCTAGTGATGTTTTTTTTTTTTTTTTTTTTTTTTTTTTTTTTTTTTTTAGATCACTTCCATTAACACTGGCATGCTGAGCTCTAATTACTCACTCACTCAGCGTTCTGGGCTGCCCGCCGCTCATTTGGGTAAGCAATGTGGCCCGTTAGCAAGATGCTTGTTAACTGAATGCACTTAATTATATAAGAAGATAATTACATGTAAATGTTGCATCTAAAAGCAGCCATCCAACCCTGCTTGCTGATTTAATAGGCACATGTTTAGGATCCCTGTTTTGTTTATTTTAGAACGAGGTGATTAATTGCTTGCTCTGATGAATCTGCTGGATATTGTTTCCATAGTGGCACAGGCCCAGCCACAACAAGGTTTATGAAAACATGTTTACTTTCCTGATCTGATTTCTATAACATGGAATTACATGTTAAAACACTGACTGTATGGACTTAGGCACTGTTCACTGATGTGCGTGACACAGCACAACTAAGAATAATGAGAAAAGTCACTTAGTAGACATGATGCAGCAACAACATAATCATGGACCAAGATGCAATAATTGTTAACAAGATGATGTGCTAAGAACAGGCTGCCTATCCTTTCTTCTACATGTGCAAAAAGAAGAAAAAAAAGATGGCATTAAAGTGGCTCGTTTATCAATATTCTATTGTCCAGGGTAAATGGTGCGACTCTAAGCTGAATTTCATTCAAGCTCCTGTCAAATGAAGGATTATTTAGTGTGTTTTAAGAAGCTGGAGTGCAGGGTGGAGATAGGGGTCAGAGTTGGAGGGCTCCCTGGGGAGGTCCGGAGGGTCTCGGGGACATCAGTCGTCCATTATGAGCTAATCAGAGGGGGGAGTGTTCAGCTGTGTGTATGTTTGTGTGTGTGTGTGTGTGTGTGTGTGTGTGTGTGTGTATTGAAAATGGGGCTGGATAGGATGAAGAGAGGTAGAGGGCCGCCACATGTTGTGGGCACTGTGTGTGTGTGTGTGTGTGTGCATGTGTCCATGTGTTAGCAAGGGAGATGATGAGGTCTTGCATCTTAATCTCTCAAAGCAGCAGAAGGCAAGATCCCCCAGGATGTTCTCTGCGGACCCTCACTCCCCACGTGAATGTGGGACATAGACTTCCAGCCTCCAGATGCTTGCAGTTCGATACAAGCCCCAAGACTGACATCCACCCATACTCTCACAGGGCTCTTTGCACAGCCCAGGGGACCTGCTGTGTTAAGAACATGATATAGTATTTACAAAAAAATATTTGTAAATGGAAGCCGTTAGCTTGTCTGTAATGGGGGGCCTGTCCGTGCTGCTATTTCCCAGCTGGCCCTCTTTGGGAGGAGGGATAAATGTCAGGAGATGTATGATCCAGGCGCTTGGCTGGGACTGCTTCTGTCTCATTCAGGCAGCCAATGTGTGCACTCTGTGAGTTTAAGCCACTCGGCCAAACAGAAGCCAACGGCTCCTTCTCTTACCGCCATAGAAACAAACCTTGATGACTGAAAGTGCATCAAAAACATTAAGTCGTATTTCATTTCACATAGCTGGAGCCACCCTGTAGCGGAAGGGAGACTGTGAAATTTCCAGTAAAAAGCTACGCTTGTTACGTCCCCCCCCCTCCCTTTATAACAAGCACTTTCAGATAATGAATTGATGTTTCGATTAGATAGGCTTTATTTGTAACCACTCAGGAAACAAATACACCACAAGAAACAAAATATTGCCAGGGAAAATTCGACAAAAAACCTCCATTGATTTTCTTTTTCATAGAAAGAGGAAAAAGTCCATAGCTTTGATGCTCTAAAAGCACTAACAGAGCTGTATGTGATAAACTGAAATGCCCTGTTTGTGTTACTGCAACAGTGGAAAGTTTAAAATGTCATAGTCGGTCAAGCCGGAAATTTTCCAGGTTGATTTGAATATTATTTTGCAATATTCACATTTTCCACTTGCCAAATATAAATTGATATCAAGACAAAGTTGATTTTAATTTCAACAAGTACTTGAAAGCTCTTTAGCAGGCGTGACTGGGAAGCCATTTTTAAGGTTACTTGAAAAGATAACACAGTTTATTTTTGAGAACAATTAATTACACAGCTTGTTTGCAGTGTTCATTTGGAGGATACATGGATTGGTAGCCTGTAAGTAGAAGCTGCTCAGGGAGGATTGGGTGTATCAGAGACATCTGATCCATCCCTAGGCGCACTTTTACAGCCTCTGAAATGAGACGCATCTTTGATTTGCCTGCCCTGTAAACAGAAAGAGACATGAAGGGGCTCTGGTCTCAGCCTCACTCCGAGCTGCCAAAGATTCACTGCCTGAAAAATGGACACAGTCAACCTCGTGACTCTGACACGTTTTTTCCACTACCCTGCCATGTTAGACAGCTGTTGAAATGATGGTTTTGTCAGTGTTGATGTAATTGGAAACTTTGTTAACACACTCATTGTAATGGAGGAAAATAAAGTATATTCATAACCGACAGTTGGGATCAGGATTAACAACATACCAGCAATGTTCACATGCCCATTGCTATTTACTTTTTTTATTATGAAATACTTCCCAGTTTGGAAACACACACACACACACACACACACACACACACACACACACACACACACACACACACACACACACACACAC